ACAGAAGTTGTCCAAACATGGACGCAGCATCGAGCACCTGGAGATTTTAAAGTTCCTCTCGTACCGGAGCCAGAACATGAACAACTTACTTGTTTTAAGGAGGAGATTGAGAAGGAGAAGGACGAGGTTTTTGGTCGTGGTGTTTTGTGGTTCAGTCCGTTGAAAGGAACGTGTGGATGTGGAGACGGAGCCAAGAGTGGTGAGTGGAGATGTGCTTCACTTCAGTGACACAGAGTTCATTAACAATTTTCAACTACTTCAGCGCAGAATAGTGACGTTTGTGTCTTGTTGATAACGTGTAGGTGGATGAATGCACTTTGGCCGTTCACACTGAAGTCGCATGTCAAAAGATCAGATATGTATCAGTTTCAGGAGCACATATCCAAGTGTCCTGGGTCACATTTGAAAAAATCGGATCTGTGTCATTCAGACTGACATTAAAAGATCAGATACAGGAACATAGGGGCCAAAAAAATGAGATTTGGGTCACTTCAGGCTGCAGTCTGAACGCAGCCTAAAAGAATTTTTGCGATGTATAAAACGTAAAAAGAATAAAATATACTTTGAACATGAAATAATACACAGACTATTTATCCAGCAGTTCCACAATCTCTATATTTAAAGAAAAAAAAAAAAAGGTTGTCGTGCCCCTCAATTTCACGTAAACCGTTTCAGCTCGATTATATGAGTTTGGATGAGTTTGGAGATCATTGACACATAAATTGAAATGCCGATCAAAATTCAAAATATTGACCGGACCTGAGCGACATCTCTTCCCTCAGATGAAGCACAGGAGCCAGGCTTTAGTTTAAAGCTTATTCACATGATCTTAATTTATGAATCCAGAAAGCTTCTTGATTTAATTTCTGAGTTTCTGTCCCGCCTCGTCTCAGTATTTTCACATGTTCAGTAACGGCAAAGCGCAGCTGTGTCATTGCTGTTATGATTTTCACAAAAATGTAGAGTCCTGGTTCTTTCCTGTGATTCTCTGCATATTGTGGTGTTGTTGTTTTCTTGACTGATGTGAGTCGTAGGTTCATATTTTTCCAGAGCGGCGTCAGCAGAGCGAGCGCTGACTCAGGAGGAGCTGTCCACGGGGCTGGTGCTGAAACGCTTCTACAAACGCTCAGTACGATGTGAATCTGGTCTGACAGCTCTCGTATGTCCCGTGTCTGCTCTGGGACGCAGCTGTGAACACGAGGACATGAGACCAGAGCTAAAGACGAGGCGTTAGGCAAGATTTATTTATTTGGTTTTTGTCTTTCTCCCGTGTTATTATTAATAATGTTGTTCTTCACCAAAAACATTTCTGAAGAGGTTTTAAATATAATCCGTGCGTGTTGTATTGAGTGTTTTGGTTTGCTGTAAGATTCTGTACGAGGCTCCGCCCACAAGCCTCTCGCGCGACAATGCTCCATAAATACGCAAAAACACGATATGAAACTGTTAGCTGATTGAGTTGTGACAGCGCTCTGAAGGGGGAGTGACTTGGCACAGAGAGCAAAGAGAGGGGAGACTGTTGTTTTCAGTGAATTTTTCAGTAGCAGGAATCCACTGAACCTGTTTAGTCTTAGTGTAGACCTGGTCTAGTTCTGGTTTAGTCCAGGCTTAGACCTGGTTTAGACCTGGTTTAGACCTGGTTTAGTCCAGGTTTAGACCTGGTTTATAACTGGTTTAGTCCAGGTTTAGTCCTGGTTTAGACCTGGTTTAGTCCAGGTTTAGTCCAGGTTTAAACCTAGTTTAGAACTGGTTTAGACCTGGTTTAGACCTGGTTTAGAACTGGTTTAGACCTGGTTTAGAACTGGTTTAGACCTTTTTTAGAACTGGTTTAGTCCAGGTTTAGACCTGGTTTAGTCCAGGTTTAGACCTGGTTTCGACCTGGTTTAGTCCAGGTTTAGACTTGGTTTAGTCCAGGTTTAGACCTGGTTTAGACCTGGTTTAGACCTGGTTTAGACCTGGTTTAGAACTGGTTTAGACCTTTTTTAGAACTGGTTTAGTCCAGGTTTAGACCTGGTTTAGTCCAGGTTTAGACCTGGTTTCGACCTGGTTTAGTCCAGGTTTAGACCTGGTTTAGTCCAGGTTTAGACCTGGTTTCGACCTGGTTTAGTCCAGGTTTAGACCTGGTTTAGTCCAGGTTTAGACCTGGTTTAGACGTGGTTTAGACCTGGTTTAGACCTGGTTTAGACCTGGTTTAGACCTGGTTTAGACGTGGTTTAGACCTGGTTTAGACCTGGTTTAGACCTGGTTTAGACGTGGTTTAGACCTGGTTTAGACGTGGTTTAGACCTGGTTTAGACCTGGTTTAGACCTGGTTTAGACCTGGTTTAGACCTGGTTTAGACCTGGTTTAGACCTGGTTTGGTTCTGGTCTGGTGAGGTTGCCTTAAAAAAACCACCCCGCCGGTCAGAGTCGACTAAAGGGAGGTTTGTGGCCCCAGAGCTGGACTGTGCCCAGGTCTGGTCTCGAGGAGCGAGTCGTAGTTGAAGTGGTTGATTTGATGGTTTAGTGTCGTCACCTGAGAAACTGGTGTGAAACAGGATCATCTGGAGAAATATATTTATGTATATTTATGTTATAAGATGACATAAGAGTCTCCTGGTGGCTCCGCTCTCGTCTGTGTGATTAACCCTCGTGTTCAGTGAAAGGCTCAGGGCTCAGGGCTCAGGGCTGTGGAGTGGCTCTAGATCACGTACACATCCTCAGGTTTTTGCTACACGCCCGTTTAGAGAAGCTTTTAGATGAGATTTCTATTTTTAACCTTTCTGAAATGATGAAATCTGTAACGGCTGAGAGTCTTCAGAGCGTCGTTACACTCAGGAGCGAGGGAGCAGATGACAAACCCGGATTTCTTTTGGGAATTGGGATCATTTAAAGTTCATCCATCTATCTATTTATCTCTCTGTCTATCTGTTTCTGAAAATGTCTCTGATCTGGCCAAGATTTTAAAACTTATATCAGGTTATTCATCTTGTTTTCTGATTTATTATCACATACTAGATAACCGATTCGATACGGTTCAATAAAAACAATCGCTAAATCACGGACTGTGACACTAAAAGTCTTTGTTAAACCACTTCTTCTTGTGCAAAGTTCATATGAAACAAAAACATTTTAATCCTCAAAACAGTGAAAATGTCAAATGTGTCGCATGCACTGCAAAAAATTAAATCTAGCCAAGTTAAAATGATCTGAGTCAATTCCACTTGACAAGTTAAATTATCTATCAGCGGAATATGTTTTTTTGTACTTAAAATCTGAAGATACAACTTACTACACTTAAAGGTTGTATGGAGGATTTTTTTTTTGTTTAAAATTGTCATTGAAAGTTTAAAATACCATTACAGAGACGCAGCAGCTTTTAATTATGATGACCGAAAAAAAAAGAAAGAATGAAAATCTATCAGTTGTGGACGTGTTGAGGCCAGATAAACATCAGCCAATAGAAAACGAGGCTCCCTCTTTTTCTATTGGCTGTTAGGTTGTCAGTCAAACTCCCTACATTTTTAGTGTAACTGAGTCATCGGCGCTCGGGGATTATGTGGTTTATGCAGCGGTTCTTTGAGGCTTTTTCAAACTGTAGCTTCCTTGCAATTCGCACAAAGTTTGTTGCGATGGCGGACGAGAATCCACGACCAGTTCACCGCAAAAGAAAGTCCGAAGGGTCTAAAAACTGACGCGTCGGTCGCTGAATTATTTCTTGGCAGGTCACTTCAACAGTAATTCTGAACATGCACTGGATGTAAACAAATGTGATTTCTAGAGTAAAGAGGCGGGAGGAGGAGATGTTTCTACTGAGGAAGGTGGAGTCACACATGCACAACATTTGAAAAAGGACTGTCGCTGTAATAAGCTTTACAGAATATTAAAATTAAAAAAGAGAGACATAAATTGGAGAGAAGAGTGCGGAATGAAAACCTTTCAGTTATTTGCACAGTTAAACAGAAATGTTTTGAGCCTGGATTTAAACAGCGTCACAGAAGAGTCTGTCTCACATGTTCAGACTGTTCCAGGTTTTAGCTGCATGAACCTGAAACTCTGACTCCCCTTGTTTAGTCGTGACTCTGGGCACCAGCAGGAGTTGGTCCCTGAGCTCCTCAGAGTGTGAGATGTTCATATGACACTAACATGTCACAGATGGACTTTGGTGCTCGGCCATGGAGACACTTGTACAAGCAGAGCTGCTTTAAAGTCTCTGAGCCACAGGAGCCAGAGCAGAGACCTGAGACCAGGACTTATGTGCTCGTACTTCCTAGTTCGAGTCAGGACCCGAGCTGCAGCGTTCTGGTTATCAGTGACAATCTGAAACAAAAAAAATCCTCCATACAACCTTTAAGTCTTAGTTCTTTGGATTAAGTCTTGTCAAGTATATTAACAATTTTGTTAGTTTCCACAAAATATCACAGTAAATATCGTACGTATGTGTATTGTGAAAATATCGTACAGAGAGATTTGGATACTGTTACATCCCTAATCGTGAGCCTCCCCACCGTATCACGAGCTTTCCAGCGATATCACAATAAATATCGTATCGTGTGGTTCATACTGTGTCGATATCGTATCATGAGACTTGGATATCGTTACACCCCTAGTTTTTATATCTTAAATTTTGGTCAAGCTTTTTTGCAGTGTGGATGACAGCGTGAGCATGTTCGAAGTGAAGAGACTGGTTTTCAAAAATATTAATCCTGGCATTAGAGAAAGTTAGAAACAACTATTTAGAAATTATGTACGTAGTTTCTTTAATTTTTCAAAGGTGCAGTTTAATTTTCTGAGTTATATTGTGAGTAAATGTTGAGATCTTGTGAGTATTTTAGTTCGTCATGTTGTTCTGATGATGAGCTGATGTTTTCCACAACAGGGCTGAACCCGGTTTAGTGGAAAATAAAGAAAAACACAGGTTCTAAAATAGTCCGAAGCCCCTGTGATTCTCTCCCGCTGCGTCTAAAAGTAGAGGCTCTATTTTTAACCTCTTCTCTCTGCGTGTATCCTGCAGCGGTCGCCATGACGACAGACGAGGCGGAGAGCCAGCAGAAGAAGCCCCGGCAGCAGCAGGAGGAGGGGGGGCAGGAGGAGCACCCGCCCTCCCCCGACCACGAGCACCTCCTGCGGGCGAGGACCAGGCACTCGGCCGGGCGGGGGCTCTCCAGGCTCTTCTCCTCTTTCCTCAAGCGACGCTCCCAGTGCGAGAGCGACGCCCCCGACAGGGACGCCCATGAGGAGGCCAAGGCCCCCATCGCCGACCCCGAGCCCGAGCTGAGGCCCGAGGGAGAGCCGGCCCCGGACCAGCACTCGGTGAGCAGTGCCGAGGCGGAGGTACTGTCAGTGTGGCCCCCAGGGACCGGCTGGAGGGCCCGGTCCGCTGGAGTCAGAGACGACATGTTACATAATGTGTCTTTAAACTCAGATGGTGCACGCAAAAGTAAACTGCCAGTCAAAACTTTGGGCACAACATCTCATTCAGTGTTTTTTAGTTTGGTTTTACTACTTTTGACATTTTAGACACACAGAAGATATCAGATATAAAGAAAAAAAAAGAAAAAAAATTAAATAACTCCACCCAATATTTTTAGCAGTGTTGGGGAGTAACAGATTACATGTACTGGAGTTATGTAATCAGAGTACAAATGATGAGTAACTGTATTCAGTTACAGTTACTGTTTCAGTGAGTGGTAATTGGATTACAGTTACTTTGTTGAAGTAAATGGATTACACAGAGGGATTTTCCTGTTTTCACATTTCGGGCTATATCCCTTTTTTTTTTTTTTTTCCGTAATTCCACTCATTGACACTAAACCAGGTTCAAACCAGGTCTAAACCAGGTCTAAAGTAGGTCTAAACCCAGGTCCAAATAAAGATGTAAACCAGGACTAAACCAGGACTAAAACCAGGACTAACCAGTACTAAATCAGGACTAAAACCAGGACTAACAGGACTAAACCAGGTCTAAAACAGGTCTAAACCAGGTCTAAAGTAGGTCTAAACCCAGTTCTAAAATGAGATCTAAACCAGGACTAAACCAGGACTAAAACCAGAACTAAACCAGAACTAAACCAGGCCTAAACCAGGCCTAAACTAGATCTAAACCAGGGCTAAAACTAGAACTAAACCAGGACTAAAACCAGGTCTAAACTAGATCTAAACCAGGATTAAAACCAGGTCTAAACCAGGATTTAACAGGACTAAACTATGCTGTGTGGACTGTGTCTCCTCTTCTTCTATCAATAATATTTTTAATACAGTTAAGTAAAGTTTGGGCTTTTTCCTTGTCTTTTAGCAGATAAAACATCTTAGGTGAAGATTTCCTCGTCTTTGTTTCTCTACATCAAATCAAGTAATCCAAAGTATTCAGATTACATTACTCACTTTAAGTAATTTAATAGATTATGTTACAAACTACATTTTGGAGTATGTAATCTGTAATCTGTAGGGGAATTACATTTTAAAAGTCACCTTCCCAACACTGATTTTTATTTATATTTCATATTCAAATCTCCTCTTTGGAAAATGAATGGAATGGAAAAGTTTTGAAATTAAAAAAAAAAAGCGTGGGAACCCTGCAGGTGTTTTCTTGGTTTTCATCGTTTTGTTCTTTCAGTTGTTTCTCTATTTGCGTCGCATTTGATGATGAAACATTTGGGTTCGGTCAAGTGGTAACGGAGGGAAACAGGGGCAGATTTTTGACATTCAAATGTCTCTTATTCAGAAACTAGAGGAACTATTGAAATAAGTAAAGTATCAGAATGTAGGAAAGAGTTACACTCCAACAGGGTCAAGTTAAACCTGTGAGATTCTTTCAAGTTGTTGACAAAAAATTTAAAAACTCATGTCGGTAACGGAGGGAATGAAATATGCAGCACTTTTTGGTCAATAAATCCAAACAGTGATAACTCTTGGTTCTCACTTACATATCCTTAACAAACTGGTTTGAATATTTGCTTCATATAGTTTTCTACCATATGGTACAAGATTAGGTTGAAAAACCTCTGACTTTTTGACTCATGAGATTTTTTATTAAGAAAGTTCATGGTAACGGAGGGAAAAGTAACGGAGGGAAAATTGTACAAACAAGTAGAAGGTGCAGGATTTTACATCATTTTTCAGCTTTTTTCTTCCGAATACTTTAATATTACTTCAAAATGAAAGGAAACTATTTCTATAAAATATGTCAGTCCTTCCAAGCAAATTTTTATCATTTTAAATACTTTTTTTTTTGAAAAATCCTGTACCTTCATCAACAGTTCAAAGATGGAATAACACAAGATATGATGAAATACATCCATTTATTTACATGATTTTTGGGTCTTTGAAATTTGGGAAATAATTTTTGTTCCATGTTTCATACATGGTCTGTTTAAAACAGATGGAACTTTAGAACCAAAAATGGTCCAGAAAAAAGGTCAACAGTTTCATAAACTAGAGACATATGTATCTGTTCAATACATTTTTATATCAGATGAATTAACTTGAATTTTTCTCCTTGTTGTTTACTTCTGCTTGACCGGGTCCAGTTGTCTTTGTTTCTTACGGCTCTTACTGTTTTTCATTTTGTTCTTTGTTTGTACCTCGTTTAAACTCGTGTTTGAGTTTGTTAAGTTGCATCGTTTCCGTACTTGAAGCTGTTTTCTCGAACTGAGACGCACCGTGATCCTGCTTCATATATTTGGTATTTTCTGTGTGTATCTAAAAAGAAAAAAAAAACCTTGAATGAGAAAGTGAAACCAAACGTTTGACTGGTCGTGTAGGTTCAGCTCGGCCAATAGAAATGGGTCAAAATGATGCGTTTTTTCCCCCATAATACACCTGTAAACGTTCACCTGGTTTGAAGCTTTTAGCGTTTCTCTGACAGACTGAGCTCAGGATCAACATGACATTTACATAATACTTACACAATACCAAGATTATGAGTAACAGCCACTACTACATGGATCTTACGTAACAACAAGCGGCCCTTTGTGTGACATAATGCCGTACGTTTAATCTGCACACGGGAAAAACGCAAAGCGAGTTTGTTTATACAGCACAACTCGTACACGAAGTAATTCAAAGTGCTTCACGGAATAAGAAAAACATTAAAATCACAATGAAAACTAATCAATAATCATCATAAAATTTTAAAAAGAGACTTTAAATGAGAGAGAAGAGTGAAAACGACAAACGCAGCTGAACAGAACCGTTTTGAGCCTGGATTTAAACTGCGTTAAAGTCAGACTGTTCCAGGTTTTAGCCGCGTGAACCTGAAACGAATCATTATTTTTCATGTAATTTACTTTTAATTATATCTTGCTACATATTCACTGTCTTTTAAGGTATTTTAAGGAATGTTTTGATGGATAACGACTTGGTATTTTGTGTAAACGTACTGTTAAAATTGCATATACACAGCAATTTTGTCACTTTTTATCTTGTATTTTACATTGTTATGGTTTTTAGTTTGTTATGTTCAGATAATCCTCAATCACAATGTCAATTTAGGCAACGGTTTGTAAGAATAACGACCTTGAATTTAGTCATGTTGTGTTATTATAGTCATAGGATTTTGACTTTTTTAATATAAATAATAGATCATTGTCAATATTCAACTAACATGGACTTCTTACTTTACATCATCATAACTTTAATAAACATATTGGGGGTCAGATTATTACAGTCAGAGGTTTCCCCTTTTTAACTACTCAACTGATCAACAAATCATTCTACATCACTTTGATTATCTAACTCATTAATAACGACTAATCTCATTTTCAGTCAAATATGTTTAAACAACTAAGTCATTTTTAATATTCAAAAGTTATAATCGACATAAAAAAATGCATCTGGGTTCTTCAAAAAACACTTTTAAATATGTTAAATATATTTAAATTTGCAGATATAGTATTAATATTCAAAAAATTTTTTCTATAGAATTCAAGTTGTTTATTAATAAAATATAGATTTTCAGAGGGGGTCAACAGACCATAACAGGATTCTGACCCCGGGGTCAAAATACTAAACCACACCGGGACTAAACAAGGATTAAACCAGGACCAAACAAGGACTGAACAAGGACAAAATCAGGACTAAACCAGGACTAAACCAGGACTACAGCAGGACTAAACAAGGACTAGACCGGGACTAAACAAGGACTAAACAAGGACTAAACCAGGACTAAACCAGGACTACAGCAGGACTAAACAAGGACTAAACAAGGACTAAACCAAGGACTAAACCAGGACTAAACCAGGACTACAGCAGGACTAAACAAGGACTAAACCAGGACTAAACCAGGACTAAACAAGGACTAAACAAGGACTAAACCAGGACTACAGCAGGACTAAACAAGGACTAAACAAGGACTAAACAAGGACTAAACAAGGACTACAGCAGGACTAAACAAGGACTAAACAAGGACTAAACCAGGACTAAACCAGGACTACAGCAGGACTAAACAAGGACTAAACAAGGACTAAACCAGGACTAAACCAGGACTAAACCAGGACTACAGCAGGACTAAACCAGGACTAAACCAGGACTACAGCAGGACTAAACAAGGACTAAACAAGGACTAAACCAGGACTAAACCAGGACTACAGCAGGACTAAACAAGGACTAAACCAGGACTACAGCAGGACTAAACAAGGACTAAACAGGACTAAACAAGGACTAAACAAGGACTAAACAAGGACTAAACAAGGACTAAACAAGGACTAAACCAGGACTAAACCAGGACTACAGCAGGACTAAACAAGGACTAAGGACTAAACCAGGACTAAACCAGGACTAAAGCAGGACTAAACAAGGACTAAACCAGGACTAAACCAGGACTAAACTAGGACTAAACTGGGACTAAACCAGGTCTAAACAAGGACTAAACAAGGACTAAACCAGAACTAAAACTGAACTAAACCAGGACTAAGGAGGAAACCACATGATCAGCTCAGAAAACGGCGTAAATCTGGTCCTTTTAACCCGACGTGTCTTCGTTTTTCCTCCAGGCCGACCTGGCGGAGAAGAAAGACGGAGACGAGCAGAAGGAGGGCGAGGACAAGGCGGAGGTGAAGGAGGGCGAGGGCGAGGAGGGACCCAAGGCCGAGGGCGAGGACACCAAGGAGGCGAAGGAAGGAGACGAGGAGAAGAAAGAGGACGCGGCCGCTCCCGACGAGGAAGCCCAGAAGGAGACGGAGGAGGAGAAGAGCCCCGAGGAGGACGCCAAAGCCCCGAGAGCTCCACGCCGACCCAGGAACATGGAGATCACCGTCACGCTGCTCGACGACACCACCTACGACCTGGAGCTGGAGGTCAGACCCAAAGAATCAAACAAACACCGAGAGAAGGTTTAATTTACACAAGTTTGAATAATCGCCTTCATTCTTGAGTAATATTTAGGTTTAAGTGGAACTAAAATTTCTAAAATCCACTTTTTTGCTGCTAAACTGTGTATATGTTGTTTTGTGCAACTTTCACACAAACTACGGTAAATTTGCAGCTTTCTGGTCAAACCGATACAAACATCTGCACAGGAAAAACTGAAGGGTTAAAATATCACTGTAAAATATTTCGTTTCAAGTTGTTTTTAACCCAAAAAGTGTTATTTTAACTATTTGAAAGTTAAATGGGGGTTTGAGTTTGATATGGTTGAAGTTAAATCTCTTAGTGTCAATTCAGTTTTCCTTGGTGTTAATTCAACTTCACTTAGTGTTAATTCAACACAAATCTATTACAGAAATCTTTTTTAACTGATTAACTGTTTCTTTTACAAAATATTATAATTTAATTATATATATATATATATATATATATATATATATATATATATATAATGAACAACCTGAAACTTTAAGAAAAATGCAATTTCAACACAAAGTTTTAACATGAACTTTTATGTAAATAGGAATAAGTCAATTTTTTCTTGTAAAATCCTGCACTCGGCTCCACTTTTCTCATGTTGGACATTTTTCTGATGAGGGTGTCACGGTCAACAGTCAAAACGATCGTCCTTTAAGAGCGTTTGGAAAGAGACAAGTCTTCATTTGTGCTGCTCTGGTGGGAGGGGCCACGTACAGAGACGCTGGAGACGCTGCTGTGATAAACACCACAGAAAATTAACAATATTTTAATAGAAAATATCATTACAATATTTTAGTAGAAAATCAGCCGAGGGCCAGATTAAAGTTATTGGAGGGCCGGATCCGGCCCCCGGGCCGTATGCTCTAGACGCTCGTCCAAGGCGTCGACGGCAGAAAGTTGAAAATACTTTTCATGTCAGAGGCGCCGCATCAGTGCCAAATCCCCTTCATTCTGTGAGAGTCAAATTTACCTCCACGTTTGTTGTGTGGAGGGACGTGTGTTCACCTGCTGGACCAATCACACGGCTCTTTACTCCTGCAGTGTGCAGTATGGACCTGTCAATCATGTGTCAGGCGCAGCTCCTGTCCTGTCACTCACCACACGCAGACGTCCTGAACGCTCCGGTCTGAACTCACTGTAAATCTGAAGTCCACGTCTAAGATGTTCCAGAAAAGTTCACACGATCAGTTTAAATGATTTTGAACTTTGTGATGTTTCTGAAGGAGAAATGTTCACAGTGAATCGTTCATGAGTCACGAGAAACAGACTGAGGACGTTTAGTTTTTCTGCTTCTCTGCTGTTTGTTCTTTCATCATCTCATCGTCATCCTCTTCTCCTCTGTCTCTCTCTTCTCCTCTGTCTCTCTTCTCCTCTGTCTTCTCCTCTGTCTCTCTCTTCTCCTCTGTCTCTCTCTTCTCCTCTGTCTCTCTCTTCTCCTCTGTCTCTCTCTTCTCCTCTGTCTCTCTCTTCTCCTCTGTCTCTCTTCTCCTCTGTCTCTCTCTCTCTCTCTCTTCTCCTCTCTTCTCCTCTGTCTCTCTCTTCTCCTCTGTCTCTCTCTCTCTCCTCTGTCTCTCTCTTCTCCTCTGTCTCTCTCTCTCTGTCTCTCTCTCTCCTCTGTCTCTCTCTCTCTCTGTCTCTCTCTTCTCCTGTCTCTCTCTCTCTCTCCTCTGTCCCTCTTTCCCCTGTTTCTCTTTCTCTTCTCTTCTTCTTCTCTCCCTCCTCTCTCTCTCTTTCTCTCTTTCTCTCCTCTTGTGTCTCACCGGTATCTCCTCTCTTTTTTCTCTCTCTGTTTCTTTCTGTCTCTCTCTCTTTCTCTCTCTCTCTCCTCTTGTGTCTTGCCTGTATCTCCTCTCTTTTTTCTCTCTGTTTCTTTTCTTTCTCTCTCCTTCTCTCCTCCTCTCCCTCCTTTCTCTCTTCTCACTCTCTCCTCCTCTGTCTCTTTCTCTCTCCACCTCCCCCTCTCTCTCTCTCTCTCTTCTCTCTCTTCTCCTCTGACTCATCTCTCCGTCCGGCTCTTCTCGTTTCTCATTTTTTTTTTTTTTTTTTCTGTGTTTCTGTTGATACATGAGTTGATGTTGGACACGGCGTCTGTCAAACATCTGATGACAGTTTGTACCAACACATCGACCGTGACCAGGTTTAACTTGGGCTTTTCAAAATACAAAAATATACAATTTTTAAAATATATATATATTATTATTTTTTTATTTTTTTATTATTATTTTTATTTTATTTTATTTATTTTTATTATTATTATTATTACTTTTTTTTTTTTTTTTTCTGTGTTTCTGTTGATACGACGAGTTGATGTTGGACACGGCGTCTGTCAAACATCTGATGACAGTTTGTACGAACACATCGACCGTGACCAGGTTTAACTTGGGCTTTTCAAAATACAAAAATACAAAAATATACAATTTAAAAAAATATATATATTATTATTTTTTTTTTTTTATTTATTTTTTTTTTTATTTTTATTTTTTATTTAATTTATTTATTTATTTTTTTATTATTATTATTATTACTTTTTTTTTTTTTTTTTTTTTGTATATGTGTTTAGTTAAGTCTGTCTTATTGTGGATGTGCTGGGTATCCAATCCCTTAAATTTGACAAATTATAAAAAAAAAAAAAAAAAACAAAAAAAAAATACGGAAATAAATTAAGAATATTTTTTATCAAACATTTGTCAACATTTGGATTTTCTCATTCACGTTCTGTGTTAAAATTCTTGCTTCTAAAGTTCAAGCTGCACCGAGGAGCTTGTTTCTGTGGTTACTGCTTTGTCTGGAATGTTCCGCAGTGAAGCTTTAAACTCATCGATCTAGTCAAGTCATATTTGTAATGTTCTGTAATGTGTGTGTGTGCAGAAACATGCCAAGGGTCAGGATCTGTTCGACAAAGTGTGTGATCACCTGAACCTGCTGGAGAAGGATTACTACGGCCTCGCCATCTGGGACACGCCCACTCTCAAGGTCAGACACGCCCCCTTTTTGTCCTACAGACTCTGTCCACGCTCACGTCACAAACCAGGACGACGTTTGCAAACACGCGACGACGACTTCCGGTGTAATTCCCGACTCTGGGCTCAACGACCGACTGTGATCGTGTAAATGTGATCGGCGGTAAAATGAAAACGTGTAACAGCAACCGAACGTAACGACACATGCATCCTAAATGTCGGACTTCCTGTCATCGCGCAGTGCACACTGGGAAGGATCCTCTGAAAAAAGTGAACATCAAACCTCCGTGTTTGTTTTCCCAGTGGGATGCGTCTGTTGTCAAAGTCGATCTTTTCAAGTCTTTTGAACCATGTCGCTTTTGTTTCTGGTTCTGATTGTCATATTTTAGTTTTGGGATTCGCTTTGCTTTGTTGTCGTTCCACATACAAAATGTTCTCTGCAAACTCGGGATGATTTCTTAGGCAGACAAATGTTTCCTTTTTGGTTCTTCCTGTGGATCAGTTCTGCCCGTCGCCTTCGCTTCTGACTTTGTTGGTTGAGAAACAGTTTGAACGGAGGTTTGAGTCACACACATCTGATTCACTTTTGCATTTATGGAGTTTGCAAACAAATTTCTCAAACCGTTTTCTTGAACTGACTCTCGTGTTCACGCCGGAAATCAGAGCGTTCAGGAACCAAAAAGTTGGTTCCAAGTAAAACACGTTTTTTCTAAGCGAACCATGACGACACAGAAGACGTCAGCGCGTTCATCCAGGTCACATGCAGTAAAATAAACAAATAAAGAGCAACTGAAACTATCACGTATGAAATAAAACGTTTTAAGTCTACAAAAACTATTCTGTACTGTTGGTCTTGCATGTGTCCGTGTTCTCCTGATAAGATTACATTTTGGGTTTGGGCGTTTTGTCGTCGCAGATCGATGTTGGAGCAGAGCTCGGCACATAAATAAAACTTGTATAAGTTCAAATGCTCACTGGTGTTGATGACTGTTATTTTCCTCTGTGACGTACGTTTTCATATGGTCTTGTTTTTATTTGGTGGTAAATCCACACCTTCTGACACTGACACTAGGCCTGGTTTAGTCCTAATCTAGTCCTGGTCCAGTCCTGGTGTAGTCCTGGTCCAGTCCTGGTGTAGTCCTCGTGATCCACTTGGTGATTGTGGTGTATATATTTATTCTCTGCTAATGTTTGTGGCTCTCGCTCTGGTTCTCGGGTCTTTCTCTTTCTTCCTGATAATAACATCACTGGATACTCGTCCCTGATTGGGACTCGTCCGCTGTTAGGATCCAACAACCACACAATTACCATGTCCGAATCCCAAAACTAAAATATGACAATATCAGAACCAGAAAAAAAAGTGATGTGGTTCATAAGACTTGAAAAGATCGACTTTGACAACAGACGCATCCCACTGGGAAAACAAACATGAGGGTTTGATGTTCAGTTTGCACAGCGCGATGACCAGAAGTCTGAAATGTGGAATTCATGTACGACATGAAGAAAACTGGAACATTTTCTTATTTTTCCCAGATTTTGTCAGACTTGGTACCGTGAACAGAGCCAAAGTTGTCATCGCATCTTTCCAAACGTCTTCCTGGTTTGTGAATAGAACGTATCAGATGTGACAATAAAACAGCAGATTTCCACTCCTGCTCCATGTGAAACGGACTAATAAACCTTTACTTCTGTCTTCTTCTTTGCTGATGTTTATTTAAATGTTTTGTTTGTGTTTGTGGAACTTGTTTCTGTGTGTTTTTATTTTCTTGTCGTTTGTTCCTCGTCAGACGTGGATGGACATGACCAAGGAAATACGCCGACAGGTTCGAGGAGCAAACTACAACTTCACCTTCAACGTCAAGTTCTACCCCCCCGACCCCGCCCAGCTGTCAGAGGACATCACCAGGTACTACAAGTACTACAAGTACTACAAGTACTACAAACATGTACTTTTACTCCCCCTGACCCCGCCCAGCTCTCAGAGGACATCACCAGGTACTACAAGTACTACAAGTACTACAAACATGTACTTTTACTCCCCCTGACCCCGCCCAGCTCTCAGAGGACATCACCAGGTACTACAAGTACTACAAGTACTACAAGTACTACAAACATGTACTTTTACTATCACAGGGCATTACAAGTACTAAAAACACTACTAACATGTACTTTTACTATCAGAGGGCGTCACCAAGTAGTAGTAACAGGTACTTTTACCATCAGAGGACATCACCAAGTACTAAAAATGCTAATAACATGTACTTTTACTATCACAGGGCATCACAAATACTAAAAATACTACTAACATGTACTTTTACTATTAGAGGGCATCACCATGTACAACTAACATGTACTTTTACTGTCAGAGGACATCACAAATACTTAAAATACTACTAACATGTACTTTTACTATTAGAGGGCATCACCATGTACAACTAACATGTACTTTTACTGTCAGAGGACATCACAAATACTTAAAATACTACTAACATGTACTTTTACTCTCAGAGGACATCACCAGGTAACATAACGGTCACCAGGTAACACAAGTACTACTAAACTGTACTTTAAATCCCATAAATACTCCTTAAACGTGTGCATGTACATTTACATACAGTTTTAACAGAACGTCTAGGTTTCGTCTTTCCTCCCCCTCGGTTCTGATTCACACACAGCCCACTTACCACGTCCCAGCTCACACGCTCCATCAAATATTCATGCTGGTGTGGGGTACTACACGACACATATTCTGTCTTATGTGGGTCAGTGGAGTATTTTTGGAACATGTCAAAATGAAACGCTTTAAATCTCCACACTCGACAGACACACTACGAACTGTGACGTAACATTTGTCAAATAAAGTGCGAAGTTACGACACAAAAATCCGTATATTTAGATTTCAAACGGACGTCAAATGGACTCGATGTTATTAGGTTCTTTTTTCAGACCAAGAGTTTGTTTTCTACCAGACAGTTTGGACTCATCCCTGCGCTGTTCCTCAGAGTGAACAGGACACGTCACAGCAACATCACGTGACTCTGAGGAAGAGCGCAGTGAACAATCCAAACTCTTGGTCTGAAAAAAGAACCTCATAACATAAAATATTGGAAGACTATTTCGTTCAGATGGACTTTCTTAATACAAAATTTTCACAATCTCATTTCACATCTCTGGACAGGACAATATTTATTGCAATATTTTACAAAATCATCATATAAAATTGTGAATATATGACTTTTTCCTCTTAAAATGCCTTGAACAGCCTTTGGTTCTGTCATAGACCAAAAAGTTAAGACTTAAAAGTGCTTATAACAATTACTTCATCTTGTAAATTGGACTGAAACAGAGCAAAGGAACAAACACTTTATCTGTTTATCTGTTTAAATTGGTCTACATATAGAACTGTGTCTCTATCCCTGGACTTATTTTGGTATTTTAGTGCATATTTGTTAAAAATGGGACTTAGTCTGTATCGGCCTCTTCAGGATCAAGTACGGCCAGGACATTTGAATTTTCGTGTTGGACTCACGACTGCCCCGTTTACATGTACACGGGTATTTTTAAAAACTGACACATTTCTTTTTGTTTATTTCCAACTTTTACACACAAATGGAGAATTCACCTCTGGAAACGAAGCTTTCTAAAAACTGGTGTTTGTGTGTAAAGTGAGATGAACAGAGTTTTAGGAGCTGTCGCCAAAAGTGTGACCGAAAAGTGTTTCCTTTTTGCTCTGATGATGATGAAGCATCAGAGCAGCACTCGTGTTTCTTCTGCTGAAACACTTTTCATGTGTTTGCATTTGCACACAGCTGATGTTTCATATCCATGACCAGAGACAAATGAACTCGGAGGTCAGTGATTTTGTCACTTCTATAACAGATCTGTGGAGAGGCGAGCCCGCTCACTAAGGCTACGTTCAGACTGCAGGGCTTAACGCTCAATTCCGATTTTTTTGTGAAATCCGATGTTTTTTTGAGGTCGTTCACATTTCCAATTAAATGTGACTTGTATGTGACTCCAGTGTGAACATTAAACGGCCCAAAAGTGTCCCACATGTGACACTGGAGACACGACGACGTCAACCGCAGCGAGCGTCTCTGTGTTTACAGAAGTTGTCCAAACATGGACGCAGCATCGAGCACCTGGAGATTTTAAAGTTCCTCTCGTACCGGAGCCAGAACATGAACAACTTACTTGTTTTAAGGAGGAGATTGAGAAGGAGAAGGACGAGGTTTTTGGTCGTGGTGTTTTGTGGTTCAGTCCGTTGAAAGGAACGTGTGGATGTGGAGACGGAGCCAAGAGTGGTGAGTGGTGATGTGCTTCACTTCAGTGACACAGAGTTCATTAACAATTTTCACCTACTTCAGCGCAGAATAGTGACGTTTGTGTCTTGTTGATAACGTGTAGGTGGATGAATGCACTTTGGCCGTTCACACTGAAGTCACATGTCAAAAGATCAGATATGTATCAGTTTCAGGAGCACATATCCAAGTGTCCTGGGTCACATTTGAAAAAATCGGATCTGTGTGGTTCGGACTGTCAATAAAAGATCAGATACAGGAGCACAGGGGCCAAAAAATCGGATTTGGGTCACTTCAGGCTGCAGTCTGAACGCAGCCTAATGCACGTTTTTCAAGGGATTTTTGAGTAAAACTTACAACTGTAATGAAATAAATGCTACAGGTTTGAATCTGATCCAGGCGCCGCCCAGAGACTCGGTGTAGTTATGACGGCGCTCGATGGAGGATTTATCCGGGTTGATGTAAACGAAAACTTTTTTTGAAAACGATGCAGTGTGCACGATGTTATTTTGGAGGGAGGGAAATATTTGTTTCTCAACACACCCAGTATGTGTGAACGCAGCCAGAGTCAGATGCACAGACACTGGGGTGTACAGGCGGGACACGAGGAGCTCCTCTCAGCCCCGACCTGGCATGTCCACTCTGTTTCAAAGTCCAAAGGCACCGGTCCACGCCATGTTGGACTGTTGTGGTTGTTGTGGCTGTCGGTCGACTGTCAATCATCGCTCCAGAGCCCCACACCCGCTTCCCCAACCCGCCTGGCACTGCCCACTCGGGAGGATTTTTCAGATTTTACTTAAGAGCACAGTAAAGCTTCAGGGGGTCTAATGGCTCTTTAAATAATCTCTCCTTAAAGTCGATTTTCCATTATAATCATCCCCTGTAGTGTTTTTCTGAGTCCTGTTGTGTTTGACTTTGTAGGTACTACCTGTGCCTGCAGCTGCGTAAGGACATCCTGGCCGGACGTCTGCCCTGCTCCTTCGTCACTCTGGCTCTGCTCGGCTCTTACGCCCTTCAGTCCGAGCTGGGAGAGTACGACCCCGAGGTGCACCTGCCCGACTACGCCAAGAGCCTGAAGATCGCCCAGGGACAGACCCCAGAGCTCGAGGAGAAGATGATGGAGCTGCACCGCACCTACAGGTCAGAGCTGGGGCAAAGGGGCAAAGTGGGCTGGGCAAAGGTGGGGCAAAGGTGGGGCAAATGTGGGGTGGGCAAAGGCAAAGGGTGGGCAAAGGTGGCAAACGGTGAGGCAAAGGTGGGGCAAAGGTGAGGCAAAGGTGAGGCAAAGGTGGGGCAAATGGTGAGGCAAAGGTGAGGCAAAGGTGGGGCAAAGGCAAAGTGTGGGCAAAGGTGCAAATGGCAAAGGCAAAGGTGCAAAGGCAATGAGCAAAAAGTGAAGCAAACATGGGGCAAATGTTGGGCAAACGTGAGGCAAACGTGGGCAAACGTGAAAAGGTGATGGGGCAAATGTGTGGGCAAAGGCAAAACGTAAATGTGGGGCAAACGGTGGGGCAGACCGGGTCAAATGCAGGTGGGGTCAGGGCATCAGATCAGGGAGGGTAACAGGAGTATTTTAAGTTGGATCATTAGTCACACAGACAGATGGGGGTTAAAGGACTTGTTGTTTAGACAAACACACAGAATAATGTTAAGCCTCTACAGTAATTAGGTTACAGTTTAAAGGACTAAACCAGGACTAAACCAGGTCTAAACCAAGTCTAAAATCAGGACTAAAACCAGGTCTAAACCAGGTGTAAACCTGGACTAAAATCTGGAGTAAAATCTGGAGTAAAACCAGGTCTAAACCTTGACTAAACTAGGACTAAAACCAGGTCAAAACCAGGTCTAAACCAAGACTCAAATCAGGACTAAAATCAGGTCTAAACTAAGTCTAAACCAAGTCTAAAATCTGGACTAAAACCAGGTCTAAACCAAGTCTAAACCAGGACTAAAACCAGGTCTGAACCAGGTCTAAACCAAGTGTAAACCAGGACTAAAATCTGGACTAAAACCAGGTCTAAACCTTGACTAAACCAGGACTAAACCAGGTCTAAAACCAGGACTAAAATAGGACTAAAACAAGACTAAACCAGGACCAAACCATACCACCGATGTGTGAAAATATTATCCCGAAAAGAGCAACTTAATAATTAGTCCTACCTTGTTTGTCGGAATGGCGAAAAAAGGGAAAAAAAAAGTCTGAGTGCAGCGACAGTTGATAAAACAAAACAATTATACATCATTGTCGGAGTGTCAGTACGTGATCTATTTCTGACACTTCTTGGATCATTTCTTCAGTCCAGTCCAGGTGCATATTTTATTTTTTTCCCTATATTTTATTTTATTTAACCCAGAAAAAAAATCCCTTTGAGATTAAAAACCTCTTGACACGGCTCACAGATTAGGAAACACAAAGGATGTGTCTCTGATGCTTTCACCTTCGATTTAGAAGCGTTTAAGGACACGAGCTCGGTCAGTTTCCAGTTTTTCTGCAGCGTGTTCCGAGCAGAAGGAGCTGAGTGGACAAAAGCGTCTGACCCGGATCCGCGCGAGAATCGGGGACAAAGAGCAGCAGCTGATCACGAGACGAGTCAACACTTTTCTGTCCAGTAACAGTACATCCTGTAAAAGTGTGTGTTGGTGTGTGTTTGTGTGTGTGTGACAGGGCGATGAGTCCAGCCCAGGCAGATCTCATGTTCCTGGAAAACGCCAAGAAGCTGTCCATGTACGGAGTGGACCTGCACCAGGCCAAGGTGAGACCAGAACACGGCTCTGTCACGGGACGAAATCCTCCTTCACTCATCCAAAACAGACCTGGAGTTGTCGCGTAGTGAAGGTGACCAAGCTTCTAATATAAAAACTAGGGCCGGGCACGTTAACGCGTTCATTTTGCGTTAACTAATTACGTCATTAACGCCGACAATTATTTTAATGCTGTTTTTATTATTTATTTATTTATTTATTTTATTGTAAACGTCTGTTTCTCACTGGTTTTTATTTTGAAAAAGTCGGCCGCGAGCGTTTCCTTAAAGGTTGTATAGAGGATTTTCCAAGGAACGAGAAATCCAGCGACTGTTTGTCCTTTTTCAAATGTTGCGCATGTGTGAAACCACCTCCCCTCCCCTACAGCTCCTACGTAGAAACACCTCCTCCCGCCTCCTCCTTACGCCAGAAACAGGTTTGTTTACAGCCGGTGAGCTGCACATGACTTGTAAACAACTAACTACAGTGTTGGTTAGGCAAGACGTGGTGAGAAGTAGAGCAAGACGGAGACGGAGAAGTGAGGAGCAGGGGAAGAGTGGATCGGGCAGCGGGGAGGAGCAGGAAAGGGGTGCAGAGAAGGTTGCGCGGAGATTCCGTGCGAATGAACTAGCTACAACACGCAGCAGCAAGCGGACTCTTTCTTTGCCTTGAAAATTACGTTTTCAGACATAGGATATCGCTTTCGTGTCCTGAAAAACGTTTGTCTCGCTCTTGGAAATAAAGTATGTTTTCATAATAAGCAGAAGTTTCCTGTCCAGGAGTAATTTGTGGACCAGTGCGTCAGTCTTTAGACCCTTCGTCTGCATCAGTCGCGCCATCGCTGGAATGAATCTTCAAGAATCACCTTAGTTTGGCTTCGCTGCTTTTCCTCTTGTCTTCTTCTTTCAGCGACCTCAAAAACGGACTTTCTTTTGTGGCTAACTGCTCCTGGATTCTTGTCGCCATTGCAACAAACTTTGTGCGAACTGCGAGGAAGATATAGGTCAAAAAAAGCCGCTAAGAACTGTTGCGTTGGTGGAGTAAACAGCGTCTGTGCGTCTTGCGTCTGTGGACTGCGTGACAGTCGTACGTAAACCACGTACCGGCGGCGCAGGCAAGTCAGTTACACTAGAAACGTAGGGAGTTTGATTGACAGCCTGTCAGCTCACAGATAACGAGGCAGTGTCGTTATCTATTGGCAAATGTTTAGCCCCACCACGTCCAGAGTTGATGAATTTTTATTCTCTTTTTTTTGGTCATCATAATTACAAGGCGACTGCATCTATAATCTATCACTGACAATTTGAAACAAAAAAAATCCTCCATACAACCTTTAAGTTTGACGTCTTTTCTTTACACTTGGTAAATGGTCACATTTTTCTATAGAGCTTTTCCACCTTCAAAGCTCTTTACAACAAGGAACCACTCACACATTCACACACACATTCACACACCAGTGTACGCAGACACTGTGGGCAAGGTGGGTGAAGTGTCTTGCCCAAGGACACAACGACAGCATTCATCTGTGGGAGCTGGAATCACACCAGCCAAACCTGTGGGTCAGTGGATCTGACGCTCAACCTGTGATGTTTATAATTTAACTTCATGGGTTCTTTTTTAAAGACAGTGCAGTAAAGTGTGTTGACCTTGTTGACATGTTCCGGCTGCTCGCTGCGAGACGTCTTCAGAACTGTCACCGGTGTTGGTCGTCCGCATCCGAAAAAAGGAACACCAAAATGCGAGAAGGAAACGTCAGGGAGACTCACCAGAAAACAAAAAGATAAAGCAGAACAGGAAAACCTAAAATCCGCCACATCAGACACTGTAAAAGGAACAACCACATTCTGGATCAGGTCGGGGCTCGGGTCATTGGATCGGAAAACAACAAGTTCAAACGCTGGATCAAGGAGGACGGTGAAATCAGGAAACGAGGCACGGACAGAATTAACCGTGATGACGGTGCATTCCTCCTTTCACACACCTGGGACACCCTCCTCCAGAGACACCGGGCGACGGGAGGCGTGGTCAGTCTGAGCGACCTGCAGGTCCATCAGGTCTGACCACGCCCACAGGAAGTAACAACAGCTGATATACGACACGTCACCACCAACACCAGGACAGATCTGAAGATGCAGCAGCCGAAACATGTCAACAAGTAAATACACTTTACTGTATTGTCTTTAAAAAGAACCCAAGAAGTTAAAGTAGATAAGAAGACAAAATGAACATCTTTTGTTTGCTGTGATGTTTATGTTGAGAGCTGGAATCGAACCACCAACCTTCACTTTTAAACATTTTTTCTGACCACGTGAGATGCAACGTGTCCGAGCCTCCGCGGGCTCCAGCTCCGGCCGCAGGTTCGGCTGTGGGCTCTGGCTCCGGCTCCGGCCTGACCAGCCTTTGTGCTCTGAGCCGAGCTTGTTTGTTTAGTTCAGTGCTGGAGTCACAACTGGAAGAAAAACTGTGATTGGTCCATTTCCATTCTGTTATATTAACCCTTTGTTTCCTAAGAAATATCAGACCCAAGTTTATAACAATGATCTAGAAATGATTACGAGTGTCGTGTCACGTGACTGTGGACTCGATCCAGACTCGGCCGTTATGTTCCAATCAGATATTGGATAAATAATATACACTTATATAACACACAAGACACACAGCGCACAACAGTCTTTTTTTGTTTGTTTTTTTACTGAGGCGTGGGATTTGTTCAGAGACGTTCAGTCCAGTGTCTGTTTGACTTTTGGGTCGTGTCGTGCTCAGGCGCTGTTTACCTGTGGTTCTGTGGTTCGTGTTCACACCTGCGCGGCCGATGACGTCGTCGCACGGAGCTGTTTGTTTGCATGTTGTGTAACGAGTTGGCGGTTTTGGCGAGGAGGGTGCGTCCAGCGGCGTGGAGCGTCTGTTGAGCGGTGGGACTGATGCTGCGGTGTTTCTCTGCTGTGGGTTTGTGGATGTGGTGGTGTTGGTGCGGGGGACAGAGGCTGTGGAGCTTCTGTCATCTCGTTTTTATTTGATAAGATTTTGTATTATTTGGATCATAGACGAGCCTAAATGTTTCAAATATAATACACAGACTTCCATATAATATCAAAAATACAAAGTGTAGATTGTGCAGAGTCGAGTCTCAGGTCTGATCTGGTTCTGGTCTGGTTCCTGTTTTGTCCAGTTCATTAAGTTTACTAAGTTACACATTCCAAGACCAAACTGTGGTAAAAGTCAAGATTTTCAACAATGATGGTTCATGGTTAGAAAAGTTAATTAAAAAAAAATTAAAGCTTTGGACATTTGATTTTTCACACTAAGTTCAGTCAAATACAACACATGAAATCAACACAATCTGATCCACAAACATCCTGGAGTTTATTCTTTGGTTTTAGTTCATTTCATAATTTTTTAGAAGTATCGGATCGGGATTCGATATCGGCAGATACTCAAAAAGACTTGGACTCGGGGGCAAAAAAAATTTGATCAGGACGTCCCTACTTATTTTACATAAAAACTTCAAACCCTGTAGTTTAGATCTGATTCTTGTGTTACTTTGTCAGTTCAGATTTCATATTTCTGCGTTTAAATGTGAACTTCTCAAATCCAAATCCTATTATTAAAACATAAACTGCAATGCTTGTCAGAAATATTGCAGTTAGACGTTTTTCCCACCTTAAAACATTCATATTTTCCTCTCTCGTCTCTGTCCTGATCTGGTCTTTGGTTGGACGTTTTGAGCCGAGGCAGCAGCTGTGGAGCCGCTCCGTCTGTCACTCGTGTCCGCGGCTTAAACCAGGAAAAACATGTGACCCTCCAAAACAGGTCAATCTGCACAGAGGGAATTACACAGATGTGCTCTGTGCAGCACTGCCCCCTGCTGGAGCACGAGTGGAAGTGTCACTGATCTGTAATAAAAACTGGATTAGGCATTTCCCCCTCTGTCCCAGCTGCAGACAGACTAGTGACTCTCCAGGTTCTGCAGCTTCGGGAGCTTGGGTCCAGAAAGAATTCTCCCGTTGAGTGCAATGCATTTTTGGGGAATTTAAACTGTCCGTGTTCTAACAGGGTTTTCACAAAGGTCGGATTTTGTAGGATTCTTTTCTGTTTTCACAACATAAACTTTTAAAAATGTTTAAATCCTCACAGGGTCCTGCGGTGTCTTAAAAAGTTTTAAAAGCTTGAATTTATGAATTTGGAAATAATACCTTAAAAAGACTTGAAAGTCTTGAATTTTTATATGTAGATTTGTGCAGTTTGAATGCTACAGATGTTCACAGATTACATCCAGCATTTAAAACACACAAACCTCTGTCTGTGCTAATAACCACATCATGAAATCGATTTTTTATTTTGATTGTAGAATCAGTCTAAGTGAACACTTCTGTTTTATTCATGACCATATTGTTAGTTTTGTTCGTTGTGTCACTAATGCGTCGTCGTTGTTCGTCTTTAAGTTTTCATCTTTCTTCTCTTGATCGTTGTGGATAAATTGTTCATGTTAGAATGTTTATCCTTTGTGGAGTTTGTTGGTTGAAGATTTGGTGATGGGACAGATTTATAAAGCTGCTGGAGAAAATGACACACATTTACACACACATTTACACACACATTTACACACACATTTACACACACATTTACACACACAGTTTGCCATAGAAAAGCATTAACGTAAGTGAAGTTTACCTACATCGCAGCACTTCCGGTCATTGTGAAAAAGGTCTTTACGGGCCCGGGGGACTTGAAGTGAACATAGTTTGATCTTTGAGTGTTCAAGCCCCTTGACGCTTCAAAGGAGGAGGTTTATAAAGCAAGTGCGGTGAAACTATGAAGGCCAGTTGACATCGGTTAGACAGAAATATGCTATAATTAAAATAAAAGAGTGGTATTCCATTGTGTAAATATATATTTTGTGAGTCAATGTTAAACTGAGAGATGAAGTGGAGGGTAAATTATTTAAATTCTCTTACTGGTAGAGCTGACAGTTTTTCAGTTTGTAGCTTCCACCATTTTATAAAAAATCAAACTCCTAAACAAAACCATGAACACTCGGGCGGATCACAGGCTTTGTTTGATTTCAATCCATTTTGTATTTTTTTGTAAAGATTTCAGACAATCTTTAAACTTCCTTGGTATTTATTTCTCATGTGTGCTTTGTGTCACCATGGTAACTGCTGAACATTCCACCATAGGTTGACATGCAGAAACTCCTCCAAAATATCAATATAATATTTTTATATATATGTTATAGAAAATGTGGCTTAAAGGTTGTATGGAGGATTTTTTTTTTTGTTTCAAATTGTCAGTGAAAGTTTAAAATACCATTACAGAGACGCAGCAGCTTTGTAATTATGATAACCAGAAAAAAAAAGAATGAAAATCTGTCAACTGTGGACGTGTTGAGGCCAGATAAACATCAGCCAATAGAAAACGAGGCTGCCTCTTTATCTATTGGCTGTTAGGTTGTCAATCAAACTCCCTACGTTTCTAGTGTAACTGACGGGATTTCGTGGTTTACGCAGCGGTTCTTCGAGGCTTTTTCAAACTGTCGCTTCCTCACAATTCGCACAAAGTTTGTCGCGACGGCGGACGAGAATCCACGACCCGTTCGCCGCAAAAGAAAGTCGGTTTTTGAGGTCGCTGAACGAAGAAGAGAAGAGGAAAAGGACTGAAGACAAACTGAGGTGATTCTTGGAGATTCCTTCCAGCGACGGCGCGACTGAAGCAGACGAAGGGTCTAAAAACTGACGCGTTGGTCGATAAAATATTTCTAGACAGGAAACTTCAACAGTAATTCTGAACACGCACTGGATGTAAACAAGTGTGACTCTAGAGTAAAGAGGCGGGAGGAGGTGTTTCTACTGAGGCTGTGGAGGAGGAAGGTGGTGTCACACATGCACAACATTTGAAAAAGGACTGTCGCAGTATTTCTCTTCCCTTAAAAAATCCTCTATACAACCTTTAATGTCCAGTTTAAAAAGTCTTGGTGCTGTGACGCGAGCTTCCCGTCGAGGTTTCTGCTTTCACACCCTGAGACGAGGGAGGCCGCTGTGTTAAAGTGATTTATAAAGCCTCTCTTTTTAACACTAGAATCTGTTTTGAAAGGTGTGATGTTGTTATTTAGTTGTGTTTGTTGCGCAGGACCTGGACGGGGTGGACATCATGCTGGGCGTTTGCTCCTCCGGACTCATGGTTTACAAAGACAAACTGAGGATCAACCGTTTCCCCTGGCCCAAAGTCCTCAAGGTGTCCTACAAGAGGAGCAGCTTCTTCATCAAAGTCCGGCCCTCAGAGGTAAAAGAGTTTGTGTTTTTCAGATTCAAGGGCCGGATCGAGTTTTCCCTGTTGATTTCACTGGACTTTACCATCAAATCTATAAAAGAGAAAAGCACAAATGTTGAACTTGGTCATTTCTGTTAGTGGCTAGACTCAAAAACTCACTGTATTATAATAAAAATCTGAATATGCACTTTTTTTATGTCTTTATAAAATCATGTCTCACACCTCCAGTGGGACGCTTTTATATTTGACTGCAAACGCTTGAACTAAAGATAGTTTTAAAATGTCATTTCAGTCGAATGAATGTGCTGTTTATGTCACAATAACTCTATTTTTATTGTTCAGAAAGTCAGATTTGATAAAGCTTTTCACACACTGGGATTATGGTGACGTATTAGACAATTTGAAAGAAAGAAAATGAAAGATTTCACAGTTTTTTGATCATGAATAAATCTAAAATCGTGACGTTACTTCTCATAATTTTAACACTCAAATTTCATATGGTGACACTTATTAAAAAACAGTTTCTCTTCCCTGATATGATTCTCTGCTGCCTGTGGACGTGGCTCACACACCAAGTCGTCACTTGCCAAATAGGAAGTTTTCCAGGAAGATCTTCCGGCTCCTTCTGACTCTGGCTCCAATTGACTCACATTAGGATCTTGTGGCTCCTTTATCTGTAACTGTTGCAGTGAGCCTCATCATGTTTGTCTTAAAACAGGGGTGGGCAAACTACGGCCCGGGGGCCATATGCGGCCCTTTAATCTTCTTAATCCGGCCCGCCGACCTTCAAGAACAATAATAATAATAATAATTTTCAGTGTTTTTCAAACTCATTTCAATAAATAATAAATACCGTGGGACTTGAAAGACATATATTTTGTTGTTGAGCTTTGTAATGATTTTCAATTATGGGATATTTTAATAACATGGGACATAGTTTCTACATATCCCTTTTTTGTTTCTTATGAGGTGGATTGCCAAAAAAACTCCATCCATCTGCTCTTGGTTCGGCCCTTCCATCAAATTTTAGAACCCTTTGTGGCCCTCAAGTCAAAAAGTTTGCCCACCCCTGTCTTAAAATGTTCGTATTAACCCGCGACACATGATCCTGAATTTTTTTTTTTTGTTATTTTATTTTGTCTATTAAAAAAAAATCCTGACTCCAGATTCTCTCCTGTAACCGTGAACATCTCCAGCCTCGTTTGAGCGACGCTGAACGCTGTGGGTGACGTCACACTCTCTTACTCCACGTCTTTTACACAGTCTGTGTTCCGTCCTGTAGGTGGAGCTGTACGAAAGTGCCATTGGATTCAAACTGCCCAACTACAAAGCGGCGAAGAAGCTGTGGAAAGTTTGTGTGGAGCATCACACCTTCTTCAGGTCAGAGCTACAAACTACGGCCAGTGTTGGGAAGGTTACTTTAAAACATATTCCCCTACAGATTACAGATTATAGATTACAAACCCCAAAATGTAGTTTGTAACATAATCCATTAAATTACTTCAAGTGAGTAATGTAATCTGAATACTTTGGATTACTTCATATTGTCATGCTTTTTAAAACAACATGAGTGTAACAACCACATCCTGAAAATTCTTGTTTGTTTTCTTCAAATTGTCTGTTGAGCCCAAGTCTCCATGAACAGACTTTTGTTTTACTGCAGAGAAGCAAAGACGAAGATCTGAACATGAGATGTTTTAGTTGCTAAAAGAAAATAAAAAGCCCAGACTTTACTTAACCGTATTAAAAATATTATTGATAGAGAAATGATTTTTTATATGATTTCACTGCTGCTTTAAATTATGTCCACCTACTGTTAGTGTCATATTGTTTAGTCCTGGTTTAGTCCTAGTTTAGTCCTGGTTTAGTCCTAGTTTAGTCCTGGTTTAGTCCTAATTTAGTCCTAGTTTAGACCTAGTTTAGTCCTGGTTTAGTCCTAGTTTAGACCTAGTTTAGTCCTGGTTTAGTCCTAGTTTAGTCCTGGTTTAGTCCTGGTTTAGTCCTGGTTTAGTCCTAGTTTAGTCCTGGTTTAGTCCTGGTTTAGTCCTGGTTTAGTCCTGGTTTAGTCCTAGTTTAGTCCTGGTTTAGTCCTAGTTTAGTCCTGGTTTAGTCCTAGTTTAGACCTAGTTTAGTCCTGGTTTAGTCCTAGTTTAGTCCTGTTTAGTTCTGGTTTAGTTCTGGTTTAGTTCCTAGTTTAGTCCTAGTTTAGTCCTAGTTTAGTCCTGGTTTAGTCCTGGTTTAGTCCTGGTTTAGCCCAAAATGTGAAAACAGGAAAATACTGCCTTGTAATCCATTTACTTCAACAAAGTAACTGTAATCCAATTACCACTCACTGAAACAGTAACTGTAACTGAATACAGTTACTCATCATTTGTACTCTGATTACATTAACTCTGGTACATGTAATCTGTTACTCCACAACACTGTGTACAACAAAACAACACACGAGCTCAGGGGTGGGCAAACGTTTTGGCTCGCGGGCCACATAGGGTCCTAAAGTTTGGCTGAAGGGCCGGACAGAAAACAAGACATAACGTGTTAAGAGCTCAGATTCATGACATCATATTCATGCTTATGTAGAACTTCAGACGCTTCGACATTTCTGTGAACGATTCAGACACATAAAAGTGTATAAATCTGTTCCACTGCACACGACAGGGAAATAAATATCATGAACTCACTGTTTTCAAATTGGACTAAAAATAACTCAATAACAAAGCTCTTGTCAGACAATCACACACATACACACTTGTAAGTGCAGTAAAACCGGACACTGTGAAGTTGCATAAATTGACATTTACAACTTCAGAGTCGTTCAAGTTTTCTATGTTTTATTTTTACCAACTCAAAATGGAAGCAGTGCAGCCTTATATCTTGAACACCAACTACTTCACTCATGGTCCGAATAACTCCTGTAAGAACACTTTCCCATAAAGCATTGCGGTCAACATAATACGCCGCACCTCAATGTATATGTATTGCGCCATCTACTGGGAAACGCTGGAAATGCATGACAAATAAAACATCAACAAGGTTTATTATTGTAATTTCTTCCAGTTCGGCGGGCCGGATTAAAAGGTTTAAATGGCCGTATATGGCCCCTGGGCCGTAGTTTGCCCTCCCCTGCACGAGCTTCATAAAAGTTGGAAAACCACACTGGCTTACACATTTCACAGAAAATAATGTTAATTTGCTCATTATATTGTAAATATGCAGATATGGAAATATTCTATAGAACAAGAGGTAAAAATACAATACAAAAAGTCCTAATAACACAATAACACAATAACACAATAAGTGCATTGTGAGTTTGACACCTGCTTGGAGATTATAAAATATTATGAAATATACTGTACATTTATATAGTCAATACATTTTCTTAAGACTCTTTAAGCATTGTTGTGTTGTATGTGTTGTTATGTGGTGTGTGTTGTGTTCTGTGTGTGTGTGTGTGTGTGTGTGTGTGTGTGTGTGTGTGTGTGTGTGTGTGTGTGTGTGTGTGTGTGTGTGTGTGTGTGTGTGTTCTGTGTGTGTGTGTGTGTGTGTGTGTGTGTGTGTGTGTGTGTGTGTGTGTGTGTGTGTGTGTGTGTGTGTGTGTGTGTGTGTGTGTGTGTGTGTGTGTGTGTGTTGTGTGTGTGTGTGTGTGTACAGGTTGACCTCCACAGAAATGGCCACCACCCCCAGAAAGTTCTTGGCTCTGGGCTCTAAGTTCCGGTACAGCGGACGCACCCAGGCCCAGACCCGTCAGGCGAGCTCCCTGATCGACAGGCCCGCACCTGCCTTCCAGAGGACCAACAGCAAGAGGAACTCACGCAGCCTGGACGGGGGTACGTGTGTGTGTGTGTGTGTGTGTGTGTGTGTGTGTGTGTGTGTGTGTGTGTGGGTCATAAAACACACTCTTAGTTAAACCTCTTGTGCTGTAGTTTCATTCAAACAGAAAACAGGCTTTGTGGATCATCAGAATCATCAGATTCACTCCAGCGTTTACATAACATATATATTAATATAATATAACATATATATTAATATAATATAACATATATATTAATATAATATAACATATATATTCTCTGCACTGACATTATTATCAGAATATGTATAATTTATGGTGGTGTATAAGATTTGTAAATTAATAACTTGACTCCAGAGGCTGAAAACTTGGACTTTATGTCTGTAAAATTCACACTAAATAATCTTTGTTGGCTCTTTTTGACTCTTTTTTTTTTGGAGAAAAAAAATCATTTTAAAAACAGCCCTGCATGTGTCGGCTGTGAGGAGAAAACACACGTGCAGTGGGTGGAGGTAAAATGCCTTTGTTGGGAAAGTTCATTTTCTACATGTTCAAACTAGTTCAAAGTTCACTGCAAAGCTTTGGATGCAGGAGTGATACTTGGATGATACAAAAATGTGCTGAATTGTCCTTTTGATTAGGGTTAGTTCAAAGTTAATCCGTGTATCATTCGTTCATTCGTTTTTCAATATAAAACCAAAAATAAGAAAACGAAAAAACAACAGTTTTCTTCGTTATTTGTCTCCAAAACCAAAATGAAAAAACGGATAACGATTCGTTTTTTCAGTTTTCGATTTTGTGTTTAAATGAAGAATGGAAAAAACGGATAACGGCCATTTCCCGTTTACGTGACTTCTGTGACTGCGATGCCGGACTTTTGCACCGCATACGGACTGAATCAGGACGGATCCAGGTCCAAGACCAGAGCGGGACTGAGATCGGGACAGACCTGCTCTGGTCCTCCGCGCTCAAGAACCGCGGCTGGTTCTGAGGTGGGGCAAAGCCTCCGACTGACGCTTTCACACCAATGAAAATGAATCGAAATAAGAGCTTTTGGTTCAAATGGACCAGGTCCGGGACCAGACCGGGACCAAAGCGCTACTGAGACTAGGACCAGACCGGGACCCGATCTGGATCGAGACCGAGACAAGACCAGGACCAGACCGGGACCAGACCGGAGGCTCAGAGCCCACGGCAGGACCGGAGCTCGAAGCTGAGGCTCGGACCCCGTGGAGGCTCAGAGTCAAAGCCTCAGTCCCGCTCTGGTCTCGCTCTGGTCTCGGACCTGGATCAGTCCTGGTTCAGTCCGTACGCGGTGCAAAAGTTCGGCATCGCAGTCACGGAAGTCATGTAAACGGGAAACGGCCGTTATCCGTTTTTTCCATTCTTCATTTAAATACAAAATCGAAAACTGAAAAAACGAATCATTATCCGTTTTTTCATTTTGGTTTTGGAGACAAATAACGAAGAAAACTGTTGTTTTTTCGTTTTCTTATTTTTGGTTTTATATTGAAAAACGAATGAACGAATGATACACGGATTTAAGTTAATTTCACAAATTCCACATTTTTGCCTGGCGTCCTGTTGAACGAAGTTAAATGGCCGTAGCAGCTCGTCAAAGTCTGATCCCGTCAGATCTGAAGCTCAGCAGGTCTGGGCCTGGGCAGGACTTGGATGGAGACACTGGGAGGAGCCACAGTGGGGCCAGTGGCAAAACCTGTTGTTGTGTCCTTAGACAAGACACTTCACCCACATTGCCTAGTATGAAAGTGGTGTGTGCGTGAGTGTTGGTGGTCAGAGGGGCCGATGGTGCAGATTGGCAGCCTTGCTTCCGTCGGTCTGCCCCAGTGCAGCTGTGACTACAGTAGTAGTTTACACCACTGAGTGTGGAGTGACTGAGTAATGAACTGTAAAGCTCTTTGGGGATCTTGAAAGGCGCTATATAAATGCAATCAAATCAATCAATCAATCAAATAGAAGCACATACTGTTCACAGACACCAGAAAGAATCTACTCTCAGTTCGTTCATGAAGCAGTAAATACAGTAAATACAGTGAGTTCAGTTCACGTTCACCCAAAGTATGAACATGAATATGATGCAGCACAATCAGTCCTGTAGTGGATGTGTAGAACCATCGTCTTTAATTTCCCTGGGTGCATATAACCACCATAAGAGTTGTTAAAAACAAAAGAGATTAGCTTCAAAACAAACAAATAAACACACCTGTACAAAATAGTTAAAGCACCTGTTTTCCCTTTTCCATCTCAAGAGCTAAAAGTGGTTCATAAAAAAATGCTGCTTTTCTCCCTCCAAACTGTTCATTTCCAGCCCTCTAGACCAGTGTCCAGTGTCCAGTACCTATGTCCATAAACCATAATCCTTTGTGACCCAAGTCAATCGACATTATTCATAAATCACAGAATAAAGGTGGATTTCACTAAATCCATTGAGTTCTTCATCCTCGGTGTCACTTCTGAACAACTCCTCGACCTCCGGAGGTAAACAGAGCTTCAATGTCTTTTCCTCTTCTGTGTCGCTGTCGTCAGACTCAGCATCAGTTCCAGTTAGAATTATTTGTGTCTTTCTGAATCCGACAGGATGGTTTGTGTCACTGAAGTCCAGACTTTGTCCATCCATCCAGTGACTTCAGGAAAGTTTCATGATGCATCCTCCCGGTGTCACAAGTTTCTCTCTCACTCCAAACTTTCTTTCTGCTGCTCGATTACCGCTTTCGGCTGCAGTTTTCACGACTTGCAGCAGGACGACGACTTTTTCTGCACAGAAAACTGACACAAGCCTAGAGCGCCTCTCTTGTAGGTGTCGGTCTGAACATTTTAATATATAAGTCGCAGGAAACACCCAAACCATGAAAAAAGTGAGACGCATAGTCTGAAAAATATGTTTTTTGGACTTTAAATGTAGCTCATTTCTTTTTCTTTTCAACATTCAACTGAACCAGCAATACTGGAACAAAATAGTCAATAAAATAAAAAAAAAAAGATTAGAAATTATACAAAACATGTCTCAACATTTCTAATGAGATAGTTGGGCCTGTCTGTGTTTTTGTGGCTTGTTCCAGTTCGGGTGCAGGAGGAGAGTGTTTCTGTGCTTTGTTTTCATTTTTGTGAGCACAGAAAATCCCAATTCAAACAAATATGTAGTAGTGAAAGGAAGAAGCAGAGAAACACTGGTCCTGCTGAGGATGGGAGATTCTGACGAAATGTTGATCCAGAATGACGATAAGTTCATAGGTCTGAACTGTATATCGCAGATCTACAGCAGATCGTGACAAGACGACCCCCCCAAAAAAATCTTTTGCGACCCGGTGTTTGTGAAACTCTCAGACTGACCCAGCCCTGTCGCTGTTCTTTACTTTCACTGTTCTGTTCCTTCAGCCATGGCGTCCACTCCCGACAACAAGTCCTCGCGCCCGGTCAGCGCCCCCGTGATGTCACCCGTCTCGCCCGGTGAAGCCACGCCCTCGCCGCTCCTGCCCGCCCTGCGTCACCTCAACGACCAGCACGACGGCTCCACCCCCAAAAGCCGACGCTCCGCGGACAGGAAGCAGGAGATGAGGGCGGACGGACGCCAGACGGACTCGCCCAAGAGCCACAGCCCCCGGCTCGACTTCACCCCAGAGCTCAAGGTGGGTACGGCGGGCGGGGGAGGGGGGAGGGGGTACGGCAGGCGGGGGAGGGGGGGTACGGGCGGCGGGGGAGGGGGGGGGGGGGGCGGGGGGGGGAGGGGAGGGGACGGTGAATATTCAGCTTTTGTAAACTTTTTTGTACTTTTTTCTGTTCGTAGTGAAACTCCATACATGACAAGACAAATACAGTAATAAACAACAGTTTTCTTCATTATTTGTCTCTAAAACCAAAATGAAAAAACAGATATTGATTTGTTTTTTCAGTTTTCGATTTTGTGTTTAAATGAAAAATGGAAAAAACGGATAACGGCCGTTTCCCGTTTACGTGACTTCAGTGACTGTGATGCCGGACTGAACCAGGACAGATCCAGGTCCAGGACCAGACCGGGACCAGACCAAGACTGAGATCAGAACTGAAACCAGGACCAGACCGAGACTGAGATCAGACTGGGACCTGACCGGGACCAGACCGGGACTGAGACCAAGACCAGACCGGGACCAGACCGGGACTAAGAGCGAGACCAGACCGGGACCACACCGGGACCAGACCGGGACCAGACCGGGACTGAGAGCGGGACCAGACCGGGACTGAGACCGAGACCAGGCCGGGACCAGACTGGGACCAGAGACCAGACCAGGACCACACCGGGACTAGACCGGGACTAGACCGGAACCAGACCGGGACTAGACCGAGACTGGGACCGAGACCAGACCAGGACCACACCGGGACTGAGACTGAGACCAGGCTGGGACCAAACCGGGACTACACCGGGACTGAGACCGGGAACAGACCGGGACCAGACCAGGACCACACCGGGACTACACCGGGACTGAGACTGAGACCAGACCGGGACCAGACTGGGACTACACCGGGACTGGGACTGAGAACAGACCGGGACCAGACTGGGACTACACCGGGACTGGGACCGAGACCAGACCAGGACCACATCGGGACTGAGACTGAGACCAGGCTGGGACCAGACCGGGACCAGACCGGAGGCAGGGCCGGAGCTCAAAGCTGAGGCTCGGACCCTGCGGAGGCCCAGAGTCAAAGCTCGGAGTCCACTCTGGTCTCGCTCTGGTCCTGGTGCCGGTCTGGACCCTCTCTGGTCCCAGACCTGGATCAGTCCCTGGTTCAGTCCGTACGCGGTGCAAAAGTCCGACATCGCAGTCACTGAAGTCATGTAAACGGGAAACGGCCGTTATCCGTTTTTTCCATTTTTCATTTAAACACAAAACTGAAAAAACAAATCATTATCTGTTTTTTCATTTTGGTTTTGGAGACAAATAACGAAGAAAACTGTTGTTTTTTCGTTTTCTTATTTTTGGATTTATAAAAAAAAACGAATGAACGAACGACACACGGATTCTTCATATCAGTTTTTTCTTCTTGTCGTCTGCACTGACAACAGCAAAGGATCATGGTCTTTGTAGTTCCCTCTGTGTTTTTTAGTTATTGCTGCACCACTACAAAGCAAGACAAAGAAATTCAAAGTGTTTTACAGAAAAAGAAACATTAAAATCACAAACAAAGACGTTAAAATCACCGTAACGATTCATTTAAGCGAAAAAAAAACTATAATTCGATATTTTACAGACACACAACAGCAAAAAGAAGACGAGGAGATCAGGAGTCTGTTGGTCTGGGGATATTTTTGGACTTCAATCCTAACCCAGAAATGTCTCAGTATTTTGGATTTATTTTAAGTCTTTTTTGAAGCCAGAATTGTTTTTATCTATTTTAGTGCAAGTGTCAGCTTTAAAAAATCCAATTATAGCATCTGAAGGTTCATAAAAATAACCCGTGGACTAAAAAAAGAAGGCGTCGTGATCCTCTGCAGCTGTCATCAACACTGGGAGGGTGAAGCTAACAGGAGGCACTGATCTGTCTGAAGCTCTGCGACTCAAATTAGACTTTAATCTGAGTTTTGTTTTAACACAATCTGACCAGAAAAAGAACTGACTAAGATGGAACTACAAAAGGCGACGTTACTGAAGTTGGTCGTGTCATTTTCCCGACTTGGAACAGATTTTTAAAGTCTAATTTTTGAGACTCGCTTGATCAAATATACTTTGTTTTACTGATATAAATATTTGATCAAAGGCCATGAGAATTATGCGTTTAAACAGAGCAGAGCTGAGTTAAATCTGACGTCAGTAAAACGATTAACTTTGAGGATTCTGCTTGAATACGATTGTTTTTGGTTCTGTTTTGTAAGAATAAACTCAAACTGTATAATATATTTAAGCTTCTCAATGGGTTTTGTTCACGCTTACGTCACAAAACAGGAAGACGTTTGGAAACATGCGGATGACGACTTCCTTTAGACCAGGGGTGTCAAACTCATTTTGGTCCGGGGGCCGTATCCAACCGACTTTGATCCCAAAGGGGCCGGATCAGAAAACTCATGTCATATAAACCCCAAAAATAACAATAAGTTCAAATATTTGTGCAGAGAAACACAAATCTATTACAGAAATCTTTTTTAATTGATGAACTCTTTCTTTTACAAAATATTATAATATTATGAACAACCTGAAAATTTAAGAAAAATGCAATTTCAACACAATGTTTTAACATTAACTTGTCTGCAAATAGGAATAAGTAAATTTTTGTTGGAAAATCCTGCACTCGGCTCCACTTTTCTCATGTTGGACATTTTTCTGATGAGGGTGTCACGGTCAACAGTCAAAACGATCGTCCTTTAAGAGCGTTTGGAAAGAGACAAGTCTTCATTTGTGCTGCTGTGGTGGGAGGGGCCACGTACAGAGACGCTGGAGACGCTGCTGTGATAAACACCACAGAAAATTAACAAGATTTTAATAAAAAATAGAATTAAAATATTTTAGTAGAAAATCAGCCGAGGGCCAGATTGAAGGTCTTGGAGGGCCGGATCTGGCCCCCGGGCCGCATGTTTGACACCCCTGCTTTAGGCTCTGCTGGTGATTGGAACTCTGACAAAATCTGGGAAAACCGAGAAGATGATCCGGTTTTCTTCATCCAGACGTCATTGTGTTCTTTCTTTTTTTCCTTTTATAAACTGCATATTAAGTTGTGTGTCATAATTTGTCTAGTTTAAAGAGCCGTTAAACCCCCTGCTGAAGCTTTACTCCTCCCTGAAGCAAAATCTGAAAAATCCTCCAGAGTGGACGGGTTTCGGGGAGCGGGTGCAGGGCAGACTCTGGAGCGATGATTGACAGCCGACGTCAATCCAACACGGCGTGGACCGGTGCGCTCCGTATTTTGAAACTGAGTGGATATTTGTGCTCGGATCACGGGCCACAGTTGATCCTAAAGAGGCCGTTACAGACGCGGACCCATTTTTAACAAACATAACACTAAAATGCCAAAATAAGGTCAGGGATAGAGACACGGTTCTATTTTAGACACATTTACACAGATAATCAGTAGGAAAAAAAAGTGATTTTGGTGTTTAGTGGCCTTATGATGATGTCACTGTAGCGTTCCGTTAAGTTCGGCAGCAGTTCCAACCAGCCGTCTGCGAGTGACATCGATGTAATTAGAGTCCTGTCCTCCATGAAAAGCTTTGTCAGTTTGTGAAGACGCTGCTGCTGCTGAATCCACAGTTTAATGGTTTTATCACATGCCCAGAGTCGGGAAATACACCGGAAGTCGTCATATGCATGTTTCCAAACGTTTTCCGGTAAGCGTGAATAGAGCCTGTACTTGTGGTTACCGTTAACCTGAACCAAAGAAGGGAGCTCCGTGCAGCTCCAGGGCTGAAGGATGTCAGGACTTCAGGGTTAAAGTCGTTCGTCGTTCACTGTGGTGCAGGGAGGCAGGGATGAGACAGTTTTCAGGTAGTTGGTCCATTTATTTATTATGTAACGATATTATAACCAACTTAACCCCAACAAGTAAAGGTAACGTGATGCGACCAGTTAAAAACATTTGGAAAAACACAAAGTCTGGTTGAAATAAAAATACAAAAGACAGAGCATGTATGCCCTCTATAGGAATGGTGGTGTAATTACAACACGCTAATAATTGTTTTAAAGCAGGAGTGTCAAACTCAAATTCCTAGAGGCCAGAATTAAAAACTGGGAATAAGTTGTGGGCCAAACTAAATATTTATTGAAAAAATTCAGCAACATCTGCATGTTTTCTTTTCTTTTGAGAAATGTAATGTTAAACTTATTAAAATAAATGTTTAATAATAGTTTTGCTTAAATGTTGAATCCACAACAAGCAGAATATAAAAAAATAACATTTTAAATAAATAATGTCTCTGTAGTCGATCTGTAGCTGGTGTGCAGCTCTAATACAATTACAATTATATATATTATAATATAATTATAATATAATTTGACATGGGACAAATAATTATATCGTGGGCCAAATTCGGCCCCCGTGCCTGAGTTTGACATGTCTGTTTTAAAGTGTGAAATCGTTAAAGCTTTAAATTAAAAAGGTGCCAAATTAGACAATGACAAACTGCTTTGACCTTTTTGTTGAAAACCAAACTCCTAAACAGAACCACAGACGCAGGTCCAGACCACAGGCTCCTGAAACGAGCTCCTTAAATCTGTTTTATATTTAAACACAGTGATGTTTCTGTAAAGTGACTCCTGTTCCAGCCTGTTGTAGTGTTTTGTTCTGACTGTGTTGTGTTGTGGTCAGTCAGTGTCCAGGAGAGAGAGGAGGCACTCCCCCTCCCTGACCGCCGCCTCCGGAGACAGGGACAGGAAACAGGTTTGTCTCCCCCTGCTGGACACTCCTGCATGACGCCCAGGGCAGGATTTCAGAAGAAAAAAAAAAAAAATTTAAAATGATCAGCTAAAGAGTGAATAAGCTGCATGTGGAGTCTGATGTCGCTCTGAATTCATTTTGTAAAGAAACAGACTGAACTGCATGATCACAGAAACAAATAATTAAAGATAAAGTTAAAAATAATCACCATTTTAACTCACAAATTCTACAATTCTGAATTTTGAAACATAATTTGCATGAAAACTAAAATATATTCACATTTTAAACA